GAACGCCGCGGCGCGCAACAGCGCAGCGTCTTCGCCGGCCAACACGTTCACCGTCAGCAGCGCAACAGATTGCTGCGCGAACTCGGCGCCGCGAAGTTGCTGCGCGAGCAGCGCGAGCAAGTCGTCAGCGAGCGCGACCAGCTGCTGCCGCTCCTGCTCTTCCGCGTAGACGCGCAGCGAAGTTGGGTTGTAGTACTGCTGCAGGCACGCCTCCACGGACTTCGCGCGGTTCAACGTCGGAGCGACCGCTGCGGACGCGCAGCTCGCCGGTTCGAGTCTGGTGAATTTGACGCAGAGAAAGAGCGCGAGGTTTGCGAAGTGCGTCTCGGCAACCACTGGCGGCGCGGCCGCAAACTTGTCGCTGCTCTCCGCGGCGACGGCCTTCCGCACCGTCTCGGCGGTCAGGCTTTTGCGGGGCGCGGCGACTGGTCCGAGCAGCGCGCAGTGCACCGCGCAGTCGCCGTGTCGCAGCAACAGCCGGTTCTTGCTGTGCGAGACGTGCACTTCCAGCGGCGAGGATGCGACGCGTGCGGGCGCGGCGACCGGCAACAGTCCTTCGCCGTTAAGCAGCACGGCGCGGAGCGCGGCGTCGAAGTCTGCGCCAATGCGCTCTGCCTCAGATGCGGCGAAGTGCTCAGAAAACATCCTGCCTGCGCGCCGCAGCGATGTGGCGCAGCTAATTCGCAGTTTTAATAATAAAATTGAGTTCGTACGGGCGTCCGTATAATTCACCACCTTCCCGACAGGGTTCTTTGGAGCAAAGAAGCCTGCAGAGTTTTCGTTGCGAAGTAAATGCCCGGCGGCAACTACGTCGCAGACCGGTCGCATTATAAAAAGCGGCCGGCAAGCGCGGACAGCACCGGCGAGGCGCAGCACGCGGAGGACGCGCGCTTCCGCGGCGGCGCTCCGCGCTGCCCGCCAGGCGCGCACGGCGCGCACGGAGCGCACGGCACACACGGCGCGCACGGCGCGCCGAGCGGCGCGCTGAGCGGCGCGCTGGGCGGCGGCAGGCTGCTCGCGCCGGATAACTCGCCGCCCGACTGGAAGAAGGCGGACCGGCTGCAGGAGGCGAAGACGCTGGTCCACCCGAGCATCGCGGCGGCGCCCCCGCTCGTGTCATACACGCTGTTTCGCTGCGACCCGATGGGCTCCTCGAGCAGCAGCAGCAGCAGCGCGCACACGCCGGTCACTCCGGTCGTCGGCTGCGAGCTGCACCCGTCGGTGATGATCCAGAGCGGCCAAGAAGTCTTCGAGCCGTTCGCGCACAGCCAGCCCGCCGACTACCGCATCCACTTCCGCTGGAGCCGCGGCCCCGCACGGACGGTCTGCTTCTTCCACATCGAGCGCGTCGCCGTAATGCAGTGCACCGTCACGCTGCGCTGCTTCTGCTCCGAAGAGTGCTTTCTGCGCGGCTTCGTGCAACTGAAGCGCTTCTACTTGAGCGACGGCAAGGTGCAGATCCCGCGCCAGGCGAACGAGTTCAGCTACGGCGTCCCGATGCGCAGCATTCACCCCGCGGACCTCGACGAAGACCGCAGCCCGGACGCCGAACACTTCTCGCTGCTCTGCTCCTCCGGCTTGGTTTTCCCGAGCTGTGCGGCGAACTGGGCGCCGCTCTCGTACGCGCGCAGTTTCTTGCCCTCGCCGAACTCGGTGGGCCACCAACTGTGTCTAGACGTCGCGGTCGAAAGCATCGGACACCCGCTGTTCCAGGCGTGCTACGAGCCCGCCGAGCTGCTCGGCGCGTTCGGCGTGCGCGCGGAGCCCGACGTCGCGGCGCACGCGAAGTGGTGGGCGGCGTTTGAAAAGCTGCTCGCGAAGTTCCCCGCGCTGCACGCGACGCACTGCCGCGTCGCGACGAACTGCGTGATCCCGATGGTGCCGCTGGTCGAGCGACGGCCAATGCTGCCGGTCGCTCTGCGCAACTTCGAGGTGCTGCGCCAGCGCTACATCCACCCGAACACGCCGCTCGCCGAAGCGCTCGGCATTGGGCTCGACTACCGCGGCATGTGCCGCGCGACCAAGCGCAGCCGCTTCGCGCCGCTGAGCTTCCAAAGCCAGCAGGTCGTCAACAACATCCTCAACCAGATCGAAGCCGTGCGCAAAGAGCGCACGTTGCTGCTAACCGACAACGCCTTCCTCAGCCGCGACGACCCCGGCCGCAAGTGGAACGTCGAGCAGTTCGGCGCGGCCAGCAGCGCAGACGCGCTGACGGTGATGACCTGGAACGTGCTCGCGGACATGTACGCGACCACCGAGGCCTACCCGTACAGCGACCCGCAGGTGCTCGGCTGGAACTTTCGGCGCGACCGCATCCTCAGCGAAATCGTCGCCTACAACCCGGACATCATCTGCCTGCAGGAGGTGCAGGGCGACCACTTCGAAGAGTTCTTCGCGCCGGCGCTGCTGCGCCGCGGCTACGAGGGGCTGTACAAGCGCAAGACCACCAAACTCTTCCGCGGCGGCGGCAAGCACAAGCCCGGGCGCTTCGTCTACGACGGCTGCGCGACCTTCTTCAAAGTGCCACGCTTCCAGCTGCTCGACCATTTCGGCATCGAGTTCGCGCGCGTCGTCCCGCCACAGGCGAAGATCAACGCGGCCGTGCCCGAGAAACGCATCAACAAGGACAACGTCGCGCTGGTGCTCTGCCTCGAACAGCAAGGCGCTGGCGCGCCCGAGGCCGCCGGCGGCCGCGTGCTGATCGTCGCGAACACGCACATCCTCGCGAACCCCGAGGCGCCCGACGTGAAGATCTGGCAGGCGAACACGCTGACCAGCGTGCTCACCGAGTACCTCGCGAAAACCACGCTCTACAACCGCAAGCAGGCCGCGGGCAAGGTCACGCCGGCACTCGTCGTGTGCGGCGACTTCAACAGCACGCCGCAGAGCGCGGTGTACGAGCTGGTCACTTCCGGCCGCTGCAGCCACAGCCACCCGGAGCTCGCGAACGCGGACCAGTGCAAGTGGCTCGACAACGTGAAGCTCGGGCACGGCCTGCGGCTCGCGAGCTCTTACAGCCGCGCGAACGCGCTGCGCGTCGGCGCCACGCAGAAGTGCGTCAGCGGGAACTTCGAGCCGGAGTTCACGAACTACACGCACACCTACGTCGGCTGCCTCGACTACATCTTTTTCGACGCCTCCGTGCTCGAAGTCGTCGCGACGCTCGAGCTGATCACCGAGCTGCAGCTCATGCAAGAGTCGCACGAGCTGCAGCTCTCCGACTGGGCGCTGCCCTCGCCGCAGCGGCCGAGCGACCACTTGCCGCTCATGGCACGTTTCGAGTGGAAACAAAAAATGGCGCCTTAGTGCATCTACAACTCTTCTTCCAACGCCTCCTCCTCGGGCTCCGGCGCGTTGTGCTCCGCGAGCGCCTGCTCGAGGAACGCGACCAGCTCCTCCGGGACCGCGCCGCCCGAGTACGCCCTCGGCGTGATTGCGGCCGGCAGCGTTACGTAGATCTGCGCCTCCTGCTTGAACTCGTAGGGCACGTCGTTTTTCGCGGCGTCGACCTCGAGGAACACGAACTCGGCGCTCTCGCGCATCTGCTCGGCGACCTTGACAAACGACTCGCGCAACTTGCGCTCCGCCTCGTCCGGCTCGCCGTCCTCGCGCGACTCGAACACGAAGAGCACCGTCGCCGCGTCGCCGCGGTACACGAGGTCGTCGAAGTTCTTGCCGACCACGTACTGCACCGCCGCGCCCGCGTTCTCGCGCGGCTCCTCGCTAATTATCGCCTGCTCCCAGTTGCCGGCCTCGACCGCGTCGAAAAACTCGCGCAGCTCCGCGGCCGTCAACTCGCTCGGCTTCACGTACTTGTTGAACAGCCGCGCGTCGTCGTTGATCGTGAAGCCCGGGAAGTGCGAGAGCTTCAGCATCGTCTGCGCGAACTTGCCGAACGCGTCCGAATCGAGCCACACCGCGCTAAACTCTTCCGGCTTCTCGCGCAACGCCTCGCGCACCGCCACGCCAACCGCTTGGTAGTCCTCCGCCGAGCCGCTGAACCACAAAAACTTGCGGCCCAGCTTGGTGTAAGCCGCGTAGTTCAAGCCGTTGATCGGCCCGAACAGCGGCAGCGTCGGCTTCGCCAACACTTCGCGCAGCTCCTCGGCCGTCGAGACTTCGAAGCGCACCGGTTCTTCATCCGCGTGCAGCACGTACAGCCCCGGCTCCGCGCCGGCGGTCGTCAAGAAGTAGTGGTGCTGGCCGCGCAGCTCGTCCACCGCCGCGCGGTACGCGTGCGCGAGCTCGCTCTCGAGGTCCGGCACCACCAGCACGTACTTCAGCTCGCTGGTGTCCTTGAACCCGACAGCCGCGTCGAGCGCGCTGACCACGATCGGCATGTCGAGCAGCTGCAGCCGCATGAAGTTCACGATCTCGTCGGCGTCGCGGCCGCCCTCGTATTTCGCGGGCTTGCCGTTGCGGAAGCGCACGACGTGCGGCACGTAGTGCGCCTCAAAGCGCTCCGCGAGCTTGTTCTCCTCATCAACGTCCACGACGCCCAGCTTCAGGTTCATCTTCGCCAGCTGCTCGGCCGCGCGCTCGAGCACCGGCATGAAGTGCTGGCAGTGCCCGCAGTGCTTCGACTTGAAGGTGACCAGCGTGTGGCGTTGCTCGTTGATAAACGCGTCGAACGAGTCCTCCTTCAGCTCCACAAGGTGCTTGACCTCCGCGCCCAGCACGAAACAAGCGGTGAAGAGCAGCGCGAGGAAACTCGCGAAGCGTGTGCCTTTCGTCATCGTCTTAATAATAATTCGTAAATCGCGAAAATACTCGCTAATTAAACGCAACGTCGAGCTGCGTTTTCGAGAACACGCCGTCTCCCGGCAGCGCGAATCGGTCGCCGAACAAAAAGTTCAGCGCAGACATCAGCACTTCCGTCAGCAGCAGCGTCGTGTCGCGGAGCAAGTTCTTTAGTACAACTTCCTTGCTGAGCTCTCCGCCGCGCTCGTCCGGCGGCGGCGCCGCCGCCGCGAGCTCCGCGGGCGGCAGCGGCTGCACCGCGCCGACACGCGTCGACCGAGCACCCGCGTCTTTCACGAAGATGTACGCGCGCGACGGCGCCGATGCGCCGCCCGCGAACAACTCGCTGCTGCGCACCGCGTCGCCGAAACCCATGCCGCGCAAAAAGCTGCGCGGGATCACAGCGTTGTCCAGCGTGGCTTCCTGCTGCGCCGCGCGCGCCAGCGTCGCCGCTGCCACCGCGCCCAGCAGAATCATTTTTTTCCGGAAAACTCGGTTTTCCGTGCCGTGTGCCGCGCCGCCGCCGGCAGCGCGCCTCCCGAATTCCCACGGCCCTCGCGCCGCGCGCCGCGGACGTGCGCGCCGAGCGGCAACGCTTCCGACGGCGCACGCGACAATACCCAAATATTGCAGCTTTTTTATGACCTCCGCCGGCAGCCCGCCCGCAAAAGTCTTCCTCAACGGCGAGCCGTTAGGCGAGCCGTTAGGCGAGCCGTTAGGCGAGCCATTAGGCGAGCCATTAGGCGAGCCATTAGGC